GCAGATTATGTTTATCACCGGGCGAATGTTTGAGTGTTGGTTGTTTGTTTGTGAACATGCACGTTTCAGTTCACTTCCGCTAGGTGCGCGTGGTGTAGACTTACAAACACGCAAACACAGGCTAAGGGCAACTACAGTCCTTCCCCACCTTGCCAGCCTCGCACTAATCGGCATCCAATTAATTAATTAATTAATTAATTAATTTAATTAATTTTTCCACTTATTAATTAATTAATAAAAAATTCTACATTGAGAGAATTCAGCTGCCTTTCGGGAGGTCTGGGTCTTCCGAGTGCTCTAGTTAAAAAATGAAAACAACATCATTGTGTTTGTTCACGCCGGTAGATATTGCTACGATTAGAACAAGGCAGAGCGTATATAGAGATCTCTATATATACGGCTCTGAACAAGCTCTCATTCTCTCATTATCATAATTAATGGACTCTTGAAATCAACAACAACATTTATCGAAATAAATTATATTTACCGATATCTTGTCGTTCGTCATTGCGAACTCGCGCACCCGTAATTGTGCTCATTGCATATACATTTATCGAAGCTTGAACGCGTTGTTTATAATTATCCGAATTTAGTCATTGCGACTAAATTCGGCTTGGCAAAATTAATGCGCATTACATTCCTCTTGCCGCGTTCCTTTTATCCGATTGTCCCCCCCCCCCTCTCCCCAACGAATTGCATCCCGTGTCAATGCACGCGTTGTTAACGCATGGCCTCATGTGCTGTTTTCCGTACGACCATTTCGCGAGGCGTGATAAATTTGGATGATGGATGAGAGTAATTCGAATAATAAAAGAGTCATTAAGATATTCGTCGCTCGTAGAGGTCTCACTTGGCTTGCGCTGTTGATTCGCAAATTAAAGACAGTCGTTCGTCAGCAGCTGACGTGTGATGCATTTATGAACGATCTTAAACTTGCAAAATACTTATTAATATTAATTTAATGTTAAATGCTTGTTTTTTAAAATGTTGTGATATCAATCAAGATTTCAACGTAAGTACGCGCGCATCGCTTGATGACACGGCATGGCATGTGTGCGTGTGTGTGATTCGGTGCGTGCGATGTGTGTACGTGCGTGCGTGATGTGCGCGCGTGGGGTTGTGTGATTTCTACATTAAGTATAGTCTAGAGGGCAAATAAACCAGGAGATAAACGTATGTAAAGTAATAAGTTCGTTTTAAATGACTAACCAGGCGCAATAATATCTGGGAAATCTTCATCTGTTTGTGCACTACGTCACTTACGCCGCATGCTAGTTTAGCGACGCGGTCCCTGGACGTTCTTTCTGCACAGTCGCGGGGATAAGCAGTGCAAAACGAAGGCTATGATATTTCTTTTTGTTTTTGAAGTGAGTGATATGAGGATCGCGGTATGTGGAGCGTATCCCTGCGTGTAAGAAGGGTGAGGCGTGCAGCCAGCGCGAATAAGGTTAGAGATGTGCGAGAGATGCCGGCAGTATGACAGAATATAGTCAAGCGATATAGTTTATGTTATATAGTTCATGTTGTTCCGCGGCGTTTTTTTTTCCAAAATTTTTTTTTTCAAGGTTAGTTGGCATATATTAATATTTAATACTGAATAACTTCACACGTAAAGAGAACAAGCACTACATACCCATGGTAGTCTTAGATTTAGAATTCCAACCCATATAATTACGTCGTTTTAATTCGATTACCGCCACCCCTTAGTTTCAGTTCCTAGTTGTGTAAGCGTGGTAGTGCTACATGAGGGGGGGTGATGGTACGGTTATAGTGTTGGAAACCAGGGCGGCCTACCAGGGGGCTGAAATCGCACATCATGGACACGCTCGACACTCCACCACAGCCACACACACACAACACATGCACGCACGCCATGCACGCACGCACGCACGCAACGCACGCACGCACGCACGCACAGCCCGAACGAACCAACACACACACACACACACACACACCACACACACACACACACACACACACACCACACACACATAATACAAACACACCACAAACACACACACAATCCTCGCCACGCCCCTGGCGGAAGTAATAAGTTGAATAATATGATATAAGAAAATAATAATGAAAGATTATATGAATATAATAACATAAAACATTACAAAATAAAAACAAACACGTTTTGTCATTGTTTAGTCCTGTGATATGTATATAAAGACATAGACGTAGACGCGTCGATTAGTTTTGGTCATCGATTAACCAAGTGATAACCAATCAATCAACTATGACACTCACTGTGTGCGAGATTCGTTAATATAAGCAATCAGAAGTTCATAAATAGAGATTTAAGACAGTATAGACATCAAATGAGAGATAGCGAGACAGGAAGACATTTTGAAGGCAATATAGAAAGCTACGGCGAGATAGCGAGATAGGGAGACATTTTGAAGGCGATATAGTTATCAAAGACGAGACTGCGAGATAGGGACACGTTTTGAAGGCAATATATGAGACAAAATGCGAGATAGCGAGATAGAGAAACGCTTTGAAAGCGATATATAGGAGACATTGAATATAAGATTTCTTTATTCACGCACTCATGGTACCACATCATCGGCTATATTTAGCACCGGGCTGAAACCACGAGTATTAACCTTTTTCTTTTCGCGCAGTCGCTCGTGCCGCTTCCTCGAAGGGCGTCGAATGTCGAGCGAGAAGCACGCCGCAGTACTTGGCCGACCCGTGGGACTGCAGCCGATACTACATCTGCCTTTCCGGCGTTGCCACGAATATGCACTGCGGTACCGGCCTGCACTGGAACATCGAGAACAAATCCTGCGACTGGCCGTACAAGGCGAAGTGCGGGAAAAAGCACGCGCCGTCGTCGTCGTCGGCAGACGACAGCAAGGCCAGCATGACGTCACAAGGTAGGTCTGCGCGTGCGCAACACCGTAGGTTATGCGTGTGCGCACTTCGCGTAGTCGTGCCACTCACAGTGATATCGTTCTAAGGTCGATGTTGTGATTTCGAGTTGCGATCACGTAAACACTCCCGCGTAGCGTGCCATGTTTTCGTATGGTTATAAATTATGACAGTTTAATTATCATTTATAAATTATTTTATCCGTGTGCGCTTCTGCCAATGTTGCGCTGTTTTTCAATCTATACTATCAGTAACGTCTAACACTGCCAAACTCTGTTGCGTTATTAATGTGTTATTAATTAATCTAGGTCTGTGTCTAAACAAGGTGTTGTATAGGTGAGAGCGGGCATGTGAAGGACTAGTAACCCATTACGTCTAACGTCTGCGTGTGACTACCACAACTAACGCAGAGCGTACTTGGAATAACCTTGTGTCGTGTGTTCTGCGTCGAAAAGCCGAGTTCTATACGTGTTGTTTACTAATTTGCATGCACACATTGTTTTGTAACAGCATAAAAGAATGTGGCGGTGTATCATCGTGCTGTATGTGTATCGTGTCGCAGCCGCCGGCAACATAACTGTTTTCGCTCGATGCACTGCATGCTGAACGATCGTGGTCGCTGTCTATAGTTATTTCGAATAGCCATGCAAGCCCGCCTGTCGAAAATCCAAGTGGTTTTTAGAGACAACAGCCAATGTTTGTAGCTAACTAACTTTTCACTGAGACAATGTCGCTTTCGTAAAACAATCGGATCACGGAAAACAAAGGTTTACCCGAGTTAGTCAAAATTAATCTATCAATTTATTCGAATTTAATTATAATATATTAATTTATATAAAAACTAATAAGATATTCGTAGACGCTCTTTGCGGATGACTTGACCGTCTAGAAATGGCGCGACAAATTTGCGACTGGTCGACCAAGGTCAAGAGCAATTATAAGAGTTCGCACCTATACTCCGTAAGCGTTCATGCCGAACTCACGGCCTTCGCATTTACGAGCATTCTGCTCGTACGCGTATCCAATACACTTCTGTCGAATACGACCACACACGCTCTATATAACATTGTAACAGGGGTGTCTCCCTATATAACGTTGTAGCAGGGATGTCTCCCTATATAACATTGTAGCAGGGGTGTCTCCCTATAACTTTGTTGAAGGATGTGAGCTGGTTAATTACATAAACTTATTAGAAAAAAATACATATTATTATGAAAAACAATCATATTATTATGAAATATGACGAACCATTTCCATATATTTTATTACAATTTTTACATGCATCCAGTTTCACAATCCCAATGCAACATCAAGAACAAGGCTCGTGCAACATTACACCAGTACCTGCGTGGCTGACTGCATCGCAGTTCGTCACCCGCTACCTCATATTACGCCTGAAGTAACGGCATACCGAACTACCTAAAACTACATAGCAGTAAAATATGTGACTACAAAGCACTGAGCCGCTAGTGCGAGTATACCGTAGCCGACGTCTATAACCGCATTTATTATCCGCCCGCGCGTTCGCAGACGCACTAAGAGAGAGGTTAGGAATGCGCCGAATAATGCAAATTCATCTCGACGGCCGATGAAGTTACGTAAAAGTCGTCAGCTTGCGTAATTTACGGCTGTATCGTTGGCACACCGGGCCGCGTCGGTACCTGTGTTTAGGTTGGAACTGGAGCAGAAAAAAACATTTGCGCTTAATTTATAGACGTCCAGAGTCTGCGGGACACGCGCAACCTTATTCCGAAACGACCGGGCTTTCACCAAGCGTCGTTTCAAGCACCAGCTGAGTAATTGGGGTTGGTTACCGCTAGACAGAGGTACAGCAAGACAGATGTGAGAGGTATATTGCTGCTGCTGCTTTTCTGCCAGTTTTCTCGTTTATATCACGCAGTTGCTTTTGACTCCTTCTATAGCGGTTAGTGGGCCACGTATAGAGACGCGTCTATTCACACCCTCGCTCGCTCACTCACTCACTCACTCACTCACTCACTCACTCACTCACTCACTCACTCACTCACTCACTCACTCACTCACTCACTCACTCACTC